GAGAGGAAAGGGCTGACAGAGAGGTGGAACAGGCCGCACATGCAGTCTCCTGCATTTCTCAGATCCACTTGAGGACTTTAGTAATTGTGCCAGAGGAGCTGATCATCAGGCTTAGGTTCAAGTCCATGGTGGGCAGGCTGATACCTCCTGGCATGGCTGTGGGGCACCTAGGATGAGGCCATCTTTGTGGAGAAACCCAGGGTGTGACAAAACCATGGCATCTGTGTCTTTGGTGAGGTGGAGGTTCTAATCACAGCCCTCAGGCTAAGGGGCTTGGGGATTTCAGCCGTGGGCCAGGGGCAGTGGCTGGAGTGCACAGAAGTGGCAGCCACCAGCTGGGTCATCAGGGGAGAGGGAAGGCTTGAACCATCCTCACCTCCTTTCTTTCTGTACTGGGAATCGAATCTGGGGCCTTCACATGGAGCTATATCTCCAGTGTTTTGGTAAATTTTGAGGCAGGGTCTCACTAACTCGAGGGCTCAAACTTGGCAGTCCAGGCTGGCAATCCTCCTGTCTCAGCCGCTCAGAGTGCTGGGATGATAGGCATGTGCCACCAAGCCTGGCCCCTCCTTTCTTTCTCACCATGGCCATCCAGCTAAGCTGAGAGACTGGGTATCTAGCAAGCAGGCAACTTTATTCTGAAAGTCTGCTCAACAACAAGAAAGGGAAATCCTGTCACAGAGCCTCTGGGGACACTTGTGGGTGGGCTGTCATAGGGAGGAAAAGGGGCAGAGCAGGAAGGCTGGATGCTGAGCAGGATCTTGGTCATTGGGGCTGTCTCCTTTTTCTCTGAATGGAACATTGCAGTGGGCTTCAGCTATCTGCATCTACTTGCTGTTTCTTAAATGAGACACATTTCTTTAGGTTAAACCTCACAGCTGCTTACAGAGCTAAGGATTGAGGAGGGTTTTACAAGGCCATCAGATATGCCAGGAATCTATAAAGATTTAGAGTTGGACATGTTGGCACACTCCTGTAATTCCAGCTACTCTGGAGGCTGAGGCAGGAGGATCACAAGTTTGATATCAGCCTTGGCAATTTAAACTTTTTCCCAAAATAAAATTTAAAAAGGGGGGGGGCTGCCCCTTAGCTCAGCTCTTTAAGTGACTGCTTCAACAAAGCAGTCAGTCAGGCTCAGGTTGCTGTGGTTCCATCCCCACAACTCAAGCCAGCCAAACCTGCCCTGAAGGCATTCGGAGCAAAATAAAATAAAATAAATAAAAAGGAGTGGGGGCTATAGCTGAATGGTAGAGTGCTATATAGCTGTGCAAGGCACTGGGTTCAACCCCTAGCTCTGAGAATTTTGGATTTTTTCATATATATATATATATATATATATATATATATATATATATACATACCTAGGGCCTTTGCACTGTGTTAATCTCCAGGCCTGAATGGGGTGAGGGAGAGTTTAGCAGTTAGTATCTCTAACTGGGGGTGGGAAGGATCTAAGGCTCAGTCCTGTCATGTTGTCAGCATTGTAAGTATGCTAAGTGTTTAACCTGGTGTTTCTATTTAGGTTGACTTGTGGAGATTACAGAGGATGGGGCCCAACAGGGAACATTATGGCAGAGAGGTTCGTGGGAGTTGCCCACCCTGTCTCCAAGCTGAGCTGCTGCACCAGGGCAGATATAAGACACTATTTAATTCATTTTAGCTTTGGGCTGTACTTGAAAGTTCTTTTTGTTTGTGATTCTTAAACACATCAATGAATTACCTTGACATTTATTTTTAATTTCTTAAATGAAAAAAAGGTCTTCTTAAAATAATTTCTAAAAAACCTTGAGTTATTCATGATATTTTTGTTTGTTTGGTGGTACTGGCAATTGAACTCAGTGCCTTGTGCATGCCAGGCAAGCACTCTACCACTGAGCCACGTCCCCAGCCCACGATATTTTTGTTTTGAATCAACACAGATTTCCACCCAAAGGCTCCTCTCCTCTAAGCCTTTTCTCTCAGTAGCAAGCATTCTGCTGCTTGAAGAGCCGCTCCCCAGTAGAGGCCTTCAGTGATGTTTGGAGACTTCAGTGACTTGAAATGCAGCTGGTGCCATCACCCTGTCTGGGGCACATCACGAAGAACAGGTGGGAAGCAGAGCTGATGAGCACCTGTGTGGAGGTGGGAGGGGTGCAGGGAGCCCCCTCGGAAGAGGAGAATGACCAGGAAGGAAGCAGGAAGCCTGAACAGAGACAGGAAGGGCACTAGCAGTTTACCGCAGCAGAAGATTGTTGACTGTTCTCCATTGTCTTGGAAGTCTAGCATAAAGGACCATAAAATGCAGGAACTGAGAATTTTGGATTATTTTGGTACTGGAGATTGAAGCCACGGCTTTTGCACTGTGTTCATCTCCAGCCCCTTTTATTTTTTTAAGTTGCCCAGGCTGGGCTCAAACTTGTGATCATTCTGCCTTAGTGTCCCAAAGTGCTAGGATTGTAGAAGACTTCTGTATTTGTAAGCCGGTCTAAATTTTCAAAGTGTGCCTGGATACAGAAGACATCTGTATTTTCTGAAACAAGCCATGAGTGAGGACAGCAGTGTCACCCAGGACAGATGTAGACATGTCATTAAGACAGAGGCCTCCCTGCTAGTAGTCAGTGGCAGGCACAGGTGTTAGTAGGCTGGCTAAGAGGGTTCCTGGCCCACTTTTTCGGGAAGCCTGAGTAGTTCTTATTCATAGGTAACTTATGCTAACTGTCCTTCAGGGTAGTCGTCCAGTTGAGTTCCTCTGTTCCCTTCCTATATCCCAGACCCCCTCCTTTAGTACAGAGGGTCAGGCCTCTGGCAAGATGTAGGAGCCACAGGTTCTGGTGCTTTCTGCATGGCATCTTCATAGCATCCAAGATCTGCTGGTACAGTCCTCCTGTTTCCTGTCTATGGGTGCCTAAGGAGTGTGGGCAAGGCCCAGCACCACCCATGCCAGGCCAGGTACCCTTCAGAGGGCATCTGAGAAATTCAAAACCGGGCTTCCCAATGAGTCATCTGCATATCTGCTATATGGGGCTTTGGGCTGGGTACTGAGGATCCCAAAGGGCACTTGTTGGATGGACAGGAAACTCGTCTGTATACCGTGGTCTAAAGCAGAGAACCACAGGTATCTCAAGGCAAGCAGACAAGGGGAGGGGAAAGGGAAACCTGGCTGAACAGTCAGTCTGAGGACCAGGGAAGCTGCTGCCCATCAGGCAATCAGCAGGCAGTGAGGACTCGTGGGTGGCAGTCTGGATGAAGCGCTTAACCTGATGAGTACATGTGGTGCTGTTGAGCAGGCGCACAGTCTGCAGAACAGTGAGACCAATGTTGAGGAGCTGCCCTGAGGTGTTCACGTCCACAGAGATGCAGTGGAAGTGGTAAGTGGCCTGGGAAGAGGTGTCCTGGGCAGGAGGTCAGGGCTGACTCTCAGTGTAGCTCAGGACTTCTCAACTGGAAGAGTTTAGTCTGGGGCCTCAAGCAGCTGGCACGTGCCCAGGTGTGTGCATGCCTCTGTGTATGCCCATTTGTATTCGGGTCCATGTTACATCCCTAGTACAGGGCACATTTTCAGTTGGTTGTGTGACAGGTGGGTACAGGATTATTCTATGTTAGGCAGGTCAGACTTTTCTTTCTAGGCCAGTGTCCCGCCCCATGACAGGGCGGCATTGTGAGTCATCTGGGTGCTTCTACACTGGGAGGTCCTGGCACATCTTCTGTGAGGGGCATATCCTGGAGCAGCTGTATACTTTGGAAATGGCATCTTCAGGAAGAAAGCCTGGATTCCAAGGGTCTTTTGGTGCAATGAGGTCACAGGAGGTCAGAGCCTTGGATGAGCAGATTCACAGTTGTGGAGCCCAGGCTTGCACTCTCCCCAGCTGTCCCCTGGAAGGAAGGTTGAGTCAGCATGTGGCTTGGTGCTCCTAGGGTGTCTCTGTGGTCCATCCTGAGGTAGGAAAGAGTCTTGAGGCTCCCTACCCTTCGAGTGCCAGAAGGATTGCATCCACGTATATCTGGGCTCCAGCCACTCCTGTGATGTTCAAAGCCAGTTCTGTGCTGGTGTGACTCTGGCAGGATATGATGTTATTAGTCACCAGTCCTTGTATTAAATCCTAGAAGAGATGGGTGTATTCGGGTTTGCTTAGTCAGCACCCCATGGCAGGGTGATCCTACTCAGATTGGATACTCCAGAGGAATCTTGGCAGAAAGCCAGTGATGAAGAGGAACTTGAGTGCAGGAAGCGGCATAGTTTTGTGTGTGCAGCACACCTTATGTTAAGGGCCATGCAGAAGGTAGGCCTGGAGGTGGCTCTGGGACATCACTTGTCTGCTTGCAGAGGCATACCTGGTTATGAGGGTGTCATCTCTGGAAACCGAGAGAGAACCTCTCAGACCTTTCCTCTTCTCTTCCAGCTATATTTCACCCCTTACTGGGAGTTTGCTCATCCTTCCTTCCTCTCTCTCTCTCTCTCTCTCTCTCTCTCTCTCTCTCTCTCTCTCTCTCTCGTGGCCTGCTCAGCCTGCCCTGGGGCCGGGGCTGGCACGGCATGTGGTGCTGGGGATTGGACTATGGTTCCTGTGGTTGCCTAAGCTTGCCTAAGCAGGTGTTTTAGACTGCTGAGCTATGTCACCAGCCCTACTCACTGATTTTCATCCTGGCTCACATCACCTCTGGTGTCTACCGGTGAAGGTGGCTGGTGTCTGGAGGTCCTGTCTCACATAACTTGACTGCTTTTCCACCTCATTCTGGGTGGGGCGGGATGGGAGGAAGGGCACATGCCCTGCTGTTCCCTGTGCTCCATGAAAGGTGACAGGCTGCAAGGTGCTGGCTCTCAGTGGGCTTGCACATCAGAATCATCTGGGTGATGGTTAAAATGATGCCAGAGCCTCAGACTTCGGCAGGCAGGTCTGATCCTTCCGGGACACAGGCAACTGATGACACCATGCACGGCTCCCTGTGTGGGCAGACTACTGGCTGGGTGTTGGAGTAAAATTAGACTCCAGTGCTGATTTCTTGCTTTTATCTCCCTTAAGGTTGGCCTCCGCCAGTTGGACATGTCCTTGCTCTGCCAGCTGTACAGCCTCTATGAGTCAATCCAAGAGTACAAGGGGGCATGCCAGGCTGCTTCCAGCCCTGACTGCCCGTATGCACTGGAGAATGGTTTCTTCGATGAAGAGGAGGAAGACTTCCGGGAGCAAGCCTCCCTCCATGAAGGCAGGGCCCAAGGCCCTCCTGGAGACCTGCCACAGCCTGTCTCCCCGCTCTCCAACAGCGACTGGATTCTGGAGTCTTTCTAGGGTCTTGGGGCAGCTAGAGTTGAGGGCTGGGTTTGAATTGGACACTGTTAGCATCAACTTCATCTACTGTAAGAAAGTGCTCTGTCTTCACAGTGGACGGTCCATGGCATCTGAGATGGATGCCACCAGGGAGTTTGTTAACACGCCATGGCAATCTGCTGGGATGCTGCAGTGTCTGATCAGGTTGCAGAGAGGCACTGAGACTGTCCATGGCTCCAGCGGTGTGAGGCACACCCCTGAGATTCACAGCGAGGCTGTAACAAGGGGTGTGGTAGGAGGCCAAGTGTGCAGCTCACATGAGGTGACTTTAACTGGTCCCTTCCAAGTCTTTGTCTTAGTGTCACTGTCCCCTTCTTCAGTGAGGCCTGCAGCTTCCTTTACTACTTCATGAGTTTTTCAGACCTTCTGCCAAGGCTTACTTATTTTGGGCTGTCTCCCTGTCCATGTGACTTATAAGATCTTACTATTGAAAGAACAAACACTGCTGCCATACTAGTGAGTGGCCTTCTCTCAGCCTACCTGCTCGTTGCCCTTTTATTAGGTAGAGGAAAAAGGGAGTTCATACAGAGGTCTGTTGAGTGGGAAAAGCCCAAACAAGAACAAGTTAAAGTTCTGTGTCATTCACTGTAAGACAGTGGACATTTCTGTTCCTAAAGACTGAATGTAAACTATTATGTTAGAAAGCAAGCCACAGCTTCCACTCAAAATAGTGATTACCTTATGCCTTAATATATTTATTAAAATACTTTGTGAGAACTTTAGACTGTGTAGGTTAAACTTGAGGATAAAATGATGAATTCTTTCTGTTGCCCTGTATTATTTTGTTCACAAATCAGAATCATCAGCTTTTATAATCTGATGTCAGCCCAAACACATACTGAATGTAGGACTTTTTTTTCTCCCATCATATGAATCAGAAAGTAACTTTATTCCTTTGCTTAGCTTGAGTGATCATGTATTAGTGGACCAGCACTAACATCTGGGGCTCTGTGCTGTGCTGTCTCTATGGGCTCCAGGCCGCTTCTTGCCTTTGCCCTCACTGCTCACCAGCACCTCCTTCAGGCCAGACAGGAGATGTACGACACCATAGGCTGGGTGTTTGTCTCCCACACTGCATCAAGGACTGAGACAAGGAGGAACCCTCCTGTTCCTTTGTGGATAGTAGTTACAGTGAAGGGTAAGTCTCCTTCTGCCTGTGACATACCTGTTCATCAGGGACAAGAAATGGAAAGCATGCAGTTTGCTCACCTGCTGGTCCTGGGGTCTTTGAGGCTGGGCCCTGGTGAGCAACTTCAGGTCTGCTGTTCTCACCCCACTCATGCAGGTCCCTTGGGGAATTTAGAATACTGATGTTTGGGCTTCAGCAGCACCTCACCCCTCCAAATCTAGATTAAATTAGGAGGTTACAAGTGGGTGTCTGCTTGGTGTTGGAGAGGGAGCCCAAGCCTGCTCTGCAGGGAGGAGACATATTCTAGTACACAGAAACATACCTCACTATACACTCATTTACTGTAAATGGATTCCCTTTGTCTATATATCACCTGTGCTTCCAAAACTCAGGGCTGCTTTATAAGAATTCACACAATAACATGCAATTTTTAAAAAAATGTGGGTTTAGAGGTCTATGCAAAAAGAACAGAGAACAGGATAAAGCCAAAAAAAAAAAAAGACAAACCTTGAGGTCTACCAGCACAGGTAGCCATGTTGTCAGAAAGATGCATAGTCCTATTTATTTAATATTTTATTTATTTGGTATAGGGTCTCATTATTCAGCTCTCAGACTTGTAGTGATCCTCTTGTCTCAGCCTCCCCAACACTGGGATTACAGGCATGCCACCACCTTCAGGCCAGCATGACACAGTACCAGGATTCAAACTCAGGTCCTTGTGCTTGCCAGGCAGGTGCTTAGATGGCTGATCTATCTCCCCAGCCCCAAAGTCCTATTTATTTAAAAAAACATACAGAAGTCTGACCTTGCATTCAAAGCTGTAGTTGGAAAGTAAGTGCTCAGCTCTCGAGCAGGTGCATATGGCATTTCCCTGCTAAGTATGTTCTCACACGGCAACTGGGGCACACAGAGAGATGGAACAGCACACCTTAAAGTGCTACGATGGGATCTTCCAAGTTGCATCCAGCTGGATGTCTGCCTTCCTGTCCTTATTGAGGTCACAGGTATGAGGCTCCACTCAACACAAGTCTTGTGCAAATTAGGTGGGCAGGATGTCTAGCCAGATGATCTTGTGGCAAGCCAAAAGGGTCCCTTAAAGATGTTTGGTCCACAGGTTCGATCCCCAGCACCACATGCCTCGCCACCCCAACCCTGGTTGTGCTAAGCCAGCCACAGAGACTAGGTGTGGTGGCACACGTCTGTAATCCTAGAGCTGGGGAGGCTGAAAACAGGGTAACTATGAGTCTAAGCTGCATAATGAGACCCATTTTAAAAAATGTACCAAATACATATTTTTAAAAAAGTTTGGTCCAATAAATAAATAAAGTCTGGAATTTGCAAGTAGGACTTTATTTGGTAAATGGACCTTTGTGTAGGTATTAATGATTTTGTCACAGGGAGCTGTCTGAATTATCCAGGTGGCTGCACATGCTATCAGTGTCCTTTGAAGAAAGGGACAAGGATAGGTGACACACTGGAGAAGTCAGTGTGAAGATGGAAGAGGAACTGGAAGGATGCAGGGTGACAGGAAGCCCTGCACACTGGAAGACTGTGAATTGTTCCCAGAGCCTCCGGGGAGCACAGTTCCTGGCACTCGGTGAAACTGATCGTAGGCCTCTTTTCTTCAAAATTAATGCTGAGGAGAGAACGTAGTGAATCACTTCTTTCCTTCTATAGGTTCTTCCTTGGAAAACAAACTATTTAGGTCTGGTTCTGCTAGTTGTGCTCCCACTTCACCTAAAACTTAAAGAAAACACATCTATTCTGGGTTCTGTTCCCTGAGGAAGTTTAAGTTCCTTTCTTCCTTGGTAAAGGCAGACTCCAGAGATCTACCATTCAGTTAGTCGGATTCCTTTTGCTAGACTAAGAACAGACACAGAGATGAACCCAATTCTGTATGACCTTGAGAAAATCCCTGAACCACTCTAAGCCTAGGAGTTTTTAAAAATGTCTTTAAATTTTCTGATTAATGCGGTCTTGTAATATCTAAAAATATCCTCTTTGGCTCATACTTACACCATGATGTTTTCATCCCAGTTTGGTTCAAAGGGCTTCATACATTGGTAGAAAATGTTTTTTAACAAAAGACCACTTGTCTTCCATGTGCCTGATCAGACCATGGCGCTGCCATAGACTGTGTGCTTCCTCCTCTGGTGCTGGGCCACGCCACACTCCAGAGCCAGCAGTGGGCTCTGTGTAAGCCCAAGATGTGTCACTGGTTCCAGCGGAGGTTTTCTAGGACAGCTGCAGTACATGTTTCCTTTGATGAAACTAGGATAACTAAAGATGACTTCATTTTTGTATGTTCAAGTGGATTTTCAGACACGTTTTTGTTGTTAAATCATACATTAATTTTTGGGGGCAGGCTTGGAAAACATGCCATCCTAAGACAACAAGCACTTTCACCGCAGGACAACTTTCCAGTACGTTGAGCTGGGTAGCTATGTCTGGTCTCTACAACAGAATTGTTACTGGGTAGCTTGTTTCTAAAAAAAGAGGCACACCAACTAAGTGTTACAGGTTCAGGTTACTCGCCTTTCCTCCTGGAGTTAGATTTCAGGTTCTTCTCATCCTGAACAAAGAATGGATGAACCTAGCAAAAAGCCATGGCAGTTTGACAAAGTAAAGGAGAAAGGTGCGAGAGAAACTGGTTCTACAGAGCAAGCTTGGGCCATGTAAAGAGAAAAAGGGGGTAAGCAAAAGTAAACGTACACACTGCCTCTGGGGAACACAAGATGGGCTCTCATAGAAAGTTATGACAGCCCTAGGCTCCTCATGGGCGGTGTTTTCATGCTATCCAAAATCTCGAGGAAACCCAGGAGAACTTCTACACTGGGTCCTGAGATGGTTTTGAGCTGACCTCGGACCTAGGCCACCTATAGGGAAATCTGCTGGAGGTGTGGGAGTCTACTTTGGGAACTGTTCTGCTTATCTTTAATCTTGTAGTTAACAGGTCACACCTACTTCCTCAGTCAGCTTTTGCCACACCCAAAACCTACCTCAGTATGCAAAACGGGCTTTAAAAGAAGGGAAAAATGATTATGCCATTATAAAGTCTAGAGGTGGATACATGTAGCTCTATAAGTACCCTTTCTACTTTTCTTTAAAATGTTTCCCAGAAAATGTTGGAAGCCACTGGGGAGGTCAGATGAACCCACCCAGGCTGGGGTGTGGGCTGGCTGTTGGGGGAAGGGCAGGCAGCCCAGGCTCCTCCCCTGCCTCCCTTTCTTCAAGTGATCAATGTTGATGGGTCCCTGTGCTCCCGACAGGTATGGGCTGGCTCCACCATGTGCACTACATCCATCCCTTAGGTCACTACTACTCACTGACATCAAGGACTGGGATCCTAAGGTTTTGTTCTTTAAGATTAGTATCTTTGTGAGGATCAACAAAGACTGGGGTTTTTAGTTCTTGTGATAGGGTCTGTGGTTTGGGCTGGCTCAACCTTGCAAGGATCCTCCTGCCTCAGCCCAAGTGCTGGGATACTCTTGTGTGCCACCACATCTAGCATAAGTGCTGAACATGGCTTTGTATATTAGATAGCTCCTTTCTAGGATGTGTTTATCTTTACTTACCTCAATTAAAAGAATTGCGAAACTTGTGAACATGTTATATCTTCGTGGGGCTTGTTTTCATGTGGGGGAGAGCGCCCAGGCCTTGCTGTACTAAGCCCTGGCCCTTGCTTTGCAGTTAACCTTTTCCTGTTGGTCTGCCTCCCTCTCCAGAGCACCAAGGCCAACAGTCCTTTCCATCTCACAGCTATCCCAAGATGGTTTTTTCCCCCAAACTTGGGTTCTTCTTTTTTTTTTGGCAGAACCGAGGATTGAACTCAGGTGGGTTTTCTTTTTGACTATATTGGTCTCATGTCTTTTCAACCCCCCTGCTCCTGCCCCTTCCCCTCTGTGTTCCTTTTCCTCATATCTACTCCCAGGAGCCCCCACTTCAGGCCACTTAGCAGTTCCCTTGTGCACTTCCCAGGCAGGTGCTTAGACGGCCGAGCTATCTCGACAGGCCCCCCCCCGTGTGCACTTTCCAGCACTGACAACAGGCATTGTGCTGCTCTACTCAAACTTCCAACCCACCACTGCCCAGTGAACCTGAACGGCCCAAGTCTTTTTCCTTTTTCCTTTTTGAGACAGTCTCACTGTAGTTCAGGCTGGCTTTGGACATGCAATGATCCTTTTGCCTCAGCCTCCTAAATCCTGGGATTACTGGCATTTGTGACCATGTCCAGCAGAGGGGGCTAAATTTTATTCACCACTGTAAGGCAGGGTGGGACGCTCAGCAAACATTTAAACGTCTGAAACGTCTGTACAGTGAATAAGCAAATAACAAGGAACAAGTGAAAGGGAAGATACCTATTTTTAATAAACATTTTATTGAAATAACATTCACTCCAAACAATGTTAACAATTCAGTGAGTTTTCTTGGTACTGTTTTTTGATCAGCCAATTTCAAACAGTATCTTAGTTACTAAACTCAAAATTTACAAAAACTTAAGTTTATTCTGAAAAACCTTCGAACTATTTCTATTGTAAGAACACAAAATTTGATTTGCAGCCAAAGAACTAAACATTTAAATGTAAATATATAAACTTGCCAAAGGAATAAAATTGAGATCTTTCGTGATGTGTGAAACACAAGTACTATTGTAGGGCAGTCTAAAATACGTAACTCAATGTCCAACTGGCTGCGCAGTCAACTCCCATGGTCACACTGTGTGTGTGTGTGTGTGTGTGTGTGTGTGTGTGTGTGTGTATGGTTTGGCTGTTTCCAGGGTTGAGGGAAGGGACTGGATTTTCACTGCACGCCAAGGCCTTCTTTTTCGGGAAGCCTTCCCAAATCTTTATCTCACTTTCCTTACCAGAAAAAGCACTTGGTTTCTCTGACATATATTCCCTTCCAGAGGTGGACAGTCATGCCTGTCAGTGGAGAATAAGACTAGATGATAAGGAAGGTCTTCAGAAAGGCACTGCTGAGCAGGTGGGACTGCTCCCCCGTTGGCCTGCAGATGAGAGGCAGAGGGACCTGAGGCACTAACTCCTCCCGATTCACACTTTTAGCCAGTTTGTTTGTTTGTCTGAGATAGGGTCTTGCTATGTAGCCTAGGATAGCCTCACACTCATGGTTATCCTCCTGCCTCAGCCTCCCGAGTGTCAGAATTATAGGCACATGCCACCGTCCCCAACTTTACAGTTTTGATGATACAGGTAGGTATAAAATAAAGTTGATACAAAGCAGGATGAGGGTTTTGAGTGCTCATTAAAGATACATGAACCGGGGAGATGGCTGAGTAGAATAAGTGCTTCCTTGGCAAGCACAAGGGCCTGAGTTCAATCCCTGGTTCCGAAAAAAAAAAAAAAAAGTGCAAATAGTCTAAAGACACGTGAACTTTGGTGTACACCTGTAGTCCTAGCACTGAGTCTGAGGCCAGCCTGGACTACATGGTGAGACCCTGTCTCCAGAAAAGAAAAAAAATAAAAAAGAGCTTATCCTTAACTAGACCCTAGCTGACATCCAACAAGCAGAAGCACTTGAAGGAAATGAAATCCCAGCCCTGGGACAGTACAGGACGATGCTGCCAAGGTGTTGCCTAGATGGAGGGGGCTGGAGAAGTGGGTATGGCACACAGACAGGGGGCACCTGGGCATTCTGGAGACACCTGCAGTGATAGGCCGAGAGTTGGCAGCACACACTTGGGGCAACAGTGAGGGCCAGTCTTTGAGAAAAGTCAATGCCAAGGGCAGCAGAGAAAGTGACTAGGGTACTACATGAGGACATGAGTGGTTACCAGGGTGGGGTGATGGTAGGTGGAGGCTGCTACATTCTCAGGCAGGAGTAAGGACTCTGGGCTACAGCCTGAGGGCAAGAGGCAGTGAACAGCTGGGGGGGGGGGACACTTTCAGCAAGGGCTTCTTGGGGACAGCAGGGGACAAGGAGCTTAGTTTGATACATTGATACATTGATCTCTAGATACAGCAGGAGCCTCTTGAGGGCAGTGGATTGAGCCAGCGGTCTGGCCAAGGCTGGCGGAGGCCTGAGCTCTTGGAGGGTGCGCACAGCAGGACGCTTAGGAGAGCACCAAGGCTGAGGACAGTCTTAGCACACACGGCAAGACCATGCAGAAAGGGGTAGGCGGCTTGTCTTGGCAGGGCACAGGGAGGAAGGGGAACTCTGAAAGCAACTGGCGCTCCTGTGGGTTTTAGAACTGCAGAGTTGGATCACTGTGGGAAGAAGCGCACTATACAGAAAAAGGGGTGAAGAAATGGAGGAAGATGGTCCCGGATAAAGAGCAAGGCACAAGCACTGGCAACAGGCACAGCCAAGATGGAGGTGAACGGAGTGCAGGGTGGCACCACAGAGAGCATGAGCGGCCAGGAGCCAGTGACTCGACTCTACCTGAGATAGGTCAGAGATACAGCATGTCCTCCCTGCCGCTGCCCTTTTGTGCTGTGCTTACTCCATGACCCTGTATCCTTGCACACAAAGAAGGGACCCCAAGGTCATGAGGCATTGAGCACCCTGGCATGCAGGTGGTGGGGAAGGGCAGAGGAGAAGAGTCTTGGGACGTGGCACAGGTGAGAAGCAGACTCTGAGGGCAGGGTCCCTATGAGGGTGGAAAGCAGCAGCCAGAGATGCACCAAGGGCCCGTGCCTAGCAGAGACACTGCCTCCAGCAACTTGGGTGCTACAGCCATGCGACAGAAGGCAAGAAGCTGGTGGGTTTCAAGGGTTTAATGGAACAGCTCAACAGTATTAGTAGCGCCCAGGGAGGGTTCAAAAAGAGGCAAAACTGGTCAGAAGAAAGTTGGAGGTCCAGGGAAGTAGAAGTAAGAAAGGCAGCAAAAGACAGAGGTGATATAGAGAAAAGAGAGTAAAATGGCAGGAAAGAACAGGAGGTAGGGGATAGTGGGGTGGACTGCAGAGCTGGATTTTAGTAGGGAGGGCTTAGTTGGTGTTAGATTGAGCACAGGACCCTTGAAGTAATAAAAATGAGGACATGGCTGTCACTGAGGATGACAAAAGGAACTAAAAGATGCAACCAGTCCTCGAGGCAATGGGCACCTTTCCAGGCACACACTTATTTGCAATGCTCCTGTCTAAGCTGACCACATGGACCTGGATGCTCTGGTACCTTCAGAAGTCCTGATCCCTATAGAAAGCACAGTCACTGCCAACATCCCACTCCATCCTCTGGAAGAAGTAGACCATGCTGCTCTCCAGCAGTAAGCCACTCAGGATGGCCAACAAGGACAGCACGCGGGTGATGTTTAGAGTCACTAGAAAAGAAAAAGCAGTTGATATGCTCTTAAGAATTTGATTAAGGCACAATGACATTTGCTTATAACTCCAACTGTTGTGAGGCTGAGGCAAAAGAGTCACCAGCGTGAGCCCAGCACAGGTAATTTTAATGAGCCTTTCAAAAAATAAAAAACCCAATCCAGCCCAGAGAGAGCACTTTCCTAGCATGTGTCAAGCCTTGGATTCAACCCCTAGTACCATAAAAACAAGCAAAATGGGCAAGGGATACGGCCCAGGGACACTTGCTTGGCAAGTTCAAACACCTGAGTTCAATTCCCGGTATTGCCTCAAAACACAAAACAAAACAAAAAGACAAACAAAAATGACAGTTGCATGTAACTTATGTGTGAACTGTCATATAAAACTACATTTTAGGCCAGGGAGATGGCTCAGTAGAATAAGCGCTTGCCTGGCAAGTGCAAGGGCCTGAGTTCAATCCCTGGTTCCATAAAAAAAAAACAAAACTACATTTTAGAAAATCTGTAGTTATTATTTATTAATCTACATGTGTCCTGCTTCACACTTTCACCTGCAAACTTCTGAGAAACCAAAGCCTTTGCATGAGACACGAGCCTGGAGCTTTATCAAGAAGTAGGATCCTGTCCACACAGAACAGGAAGCCAGGCATGATAACGCACACCTGTAATCCCTGCACTTGGGAGGCTGAGACAAGAAGAGTATCACAAGCTTGAGGCCAGCCTGGTCTACACAGCAAGACTGTCTCAAAACCAAACCAAACCAATCCAACCCAATCCAACCCAGACAGAAAATAAAAAAGTAGATTCTAGAGTTACAAATACAGTAACAAGAAAATGACACTACTAGTGTCAGTGTGCAAGATGGCAAGATGATAAAAAGTATCAGATAAGAGGTTCATTCAAAATAGTACTTTTCACAGTGCACAGGAAAATGGAGACATTTCCTGGCACAGCAGGCTCTGTCCCCATGTGGGAGGTGGCATCGGATACCCCGTTCTGGCCTGACAACTGCCCAGCCTGGAACTCTGGACAAGTTACCTGTCCTCATGGCCCACAAGCTTACTCATGAAGATAACAATGACCGTACTACTAAGCTCACTGGACAGAGAAAGCGGATAAAAACATGCTGAAAGCGGTCAAGTATTGTGTGATTAAATTTATGAAACACTAGGGCCTGCCACTGTTAGGTACCTTAGACGTGCCGGGGACTGTTACTATTCTATGAAGAACTCCAGTTAGTTCAGCAGTCCCACAAAACTTTCCCAGAACCACGGCTGGAAGCTCCCAGGAATGTGAAGGCAGGATGAAAGCAGACGCTTACCTCTGATTGCTTGGAAATTTGAGGTCAACACAAACACTTTGATGAGTCTGAGGCACAGAGGTGTGTAGTCATGCTCCCAGATGACAGCTGGGATCAGCAGGAGCTTTCCGTAGCTTGATAACAGTAATGCCTTTAGCAGCAAGAAGAAGTCAGGCTGCTTTTTTGCTGTCATGAGTCGTTCTAGCCACAGAAAAGTAAAAATGCCAATAAAAAAGGCACTTTGTTCTAGGGAGGCAATAAAAAAATAAAAATTTGTTTGTCTCCATCCAAATTGTATTTCCCCTAAAAAACAATTTCAATTGCAAAATACAACTTATCTGATTTCGTAAGGAATGATTTAACGGTATCAGATTTTCTTTTTTTTTTTTTAAATCCAGTTTTTTTTTTTTTTT